TATATATTTAGCTTTGCAGGCAGCCATTATTTCACAAAGCAAACTTACTATCAAAAACCTTACAATGACTAAAAGGTAAATACATTAAAAACAGTAAAAGGATGGAAAATTACATTTACAAGTAAATGTTACTATTTAGTGGTGGAATAACACTTAATTCATTTATAGGTTGTTTGCCAAAGATTTACCTATATTGCAATCAGCTTTGAATCGAACGCCAGTCTCTTTATGGCTTCCAGTGTTCCCTGGTGTTGTACCGCCATCTGCTGCTACACGCAGCACAATACAAAAAGAATATTTTATGGCACTACATGGCATTAAGAAACACACACTTAGCTCTCTTTATTATGCAGGAACTCACTACTTTAAAATCGTGTAAATATATATGTGGAACATAGTGGCACTTTAGTTAGAACTGAACTTTTTTTTTTTCAAATATTAATACGACTGTTTAAACTGAGTTTACATTTAGACTCCTTGTGAAAGTAACAGGAATATAAAATACACGATTAAAGGTCAACTGAGCAAATATGACATGTTGAGGAAGGGGAGTGGGGGGGACTACGTTCAAACACAAAGCAAGAGCGGAGTGGAGAAGGGCAGAGAAACACACTTACGTGATCTGACAAATCCATTATACTTATATTTGGCTGAGGAGAATGCAAAGACAAGTGGCAGGTCACACAGAGAGAGACATCAACGGAAGAGTGGAGGGTGGAGATGGGAACAAAAGAGACTCTAATGTCATTAAAGGCGAGGAGAGCGAACGGAAAAAAATCTAAGTGGTCTACAAACACCAAATAAATTGAAAACTGATGCTGATCCTAGCATGGAATGAGCTCTGAACGAAAGCAGGGAGATGAATGAAGTTTCTCGTCAGGGTGAACCGTGCTCTTAGGAAAGTGTTCTCTTAAGATGAAAAGATCTAATGGAGTTTTTTAAATTTTTTTAAACATGTTCATCAAGATTTAAATGTCTTTTACATTTTTATTTAGATTTGATTGGCATTGCATGGTTTATATTAAAGCCAAAAGGGCGTAGCTAATTGAATGCACGGATATATAGATATTAAAAAGAAAACAGAAGAAGAAGAAACCAGACCGCACACGCTGCTCAAAACAGCCAAACTCTAACAGAGCGCTGATGCACACACGCATGGATTTTATGCTGCACTCAAATCTCAGAGGTTGTTAAAAAAAGATGGCCCAAGGTCTCCGTTTATGCCCGGGCTGTTAATTATTGAGGAATTACAGTTTCTGACCTTGACTGAGGAGATATAGATTGGTTTGGCTATAACTACTGATGGAGTGGGAACTTGAACTAAGCTCCGAGTCGCTGAGACTTCCCGTTCTTTACCGAAGTCTCTTACAGCAATAAAGGTCACAGTGAAGGCCCAAGGCTGGCCTATGACACTGATCCTCAAAGCTGGGACCCACAGTAGCCCTGGCATCTGTCTCTAGCAATCTGCCCACACCGCAGAGGCGGCGGACTAACTGGCTAGCATCTGGGGCGTAGCAACGCAACGCAGGACGGAGGGTGGGTGGCGGGGGTGGGCACCAAGCCTGCCTGGTGGACAGGAGCTGTCAGGGCACGTTTGGTGACAGACCAGCAAGGCTGGGAAAATGAAAGCGCAAACATAATTTCTGTGTCAAGACAGATACGATCCTCTGGAATGAGATGCAGATTCACACACATGCAAAGACTCGGCGATCAAAAGCGCATCCTATGCACTCAAGATGTACACACACACACACACATGTGCACACACAGCCACGAGGTTTGTGGACACGCCAAACGATGCAGTCTAGACCTCAACCTCAAGCAGAATAGTGGCCTTGCAGCTGCTTCATAACACAAACCCTGTTACAACCACTGCACTAGAGCTCTCCTGAAGCGATCATGCTCAGGTCATGACAACAGAAAATAACTTTGAACACACAAAACACTTCTTAGTTACCCTACAGCCTTAAGAGGTGAGGAGTTTAAAACCCAAATCGATTAAACGTCGCATGAACCTGACCAGTAGACATCAAACTCTAACAAATACACTTCCGTTAATTTTAAAAGCAAAAGGGACAGTCTGTGGAGGTTTTTGACTTCAAGTCAAGTTAAATAAGTGATTTCTGTCAAATAAATCAACTAAAAAAGTGTCAAAAAACAACAGGTTGTAATGTGCAAAGGGTCAGTCCAGTGGAAGAAAAACAATAAAAAGGCACAGCTAGAGGAAATCCAGCAATCCCTGTCTGACAAAGCCCAATGCATCCTCCCTAAACTCTTTGTTCATTCAGAGTTAAAAAGGCAAAGAAATCTAGGAGGCTTTCCTTAAATCCTACAGGGGTTGAAGGAAAAGTGAGATCAGTTACCATGTAATAGTCAGTAATTGGTACCGAGGGATATCAGCTCAGGCCCCAACTACAAGAGGCCAAGCCAAACTCATCATGCCGTGTTTGACACTAATCTGGGCTGAGTCGGCAGACGGTGGGAGAATGCTGAGAAGGAAATCAGATCTGTATGTCTGAACCCAACGCTTTGATAGCCAAGCCTACTGCTGCCATGTCTAATTGACAGACAATTTAGTATTTCTCATCCACTCAAAGAAAAACGTAAAAGAAGGGATCATCCACTCTCTTCTCTTCTTTTCCTTTTTGTCGTCATCGTAAAGTTTTTTTTCTTTTTGCATTTAGAATGTTGTTTTTGTTTGTTTGTGTTCCCAACTCTTCTTTTTTGTCCTTTACTCAAATCTTGCAAACTGTCACCTACAAGAGAGACTTAATTACAGTCCAAGGATGAGACTTGATCAGCGATGAAATAAATTAAATCTGAGCCATATTTGCACGTTTTTGTCTTCAATAAATGTCTAAATGCTCACAATTTAAAAATGCAATACAGTGTAATTAGGAGCTTGTGATTTAAATTTTTGTAATTGTATTTGTTTGCTTTAAATAGACATAATGTTTTGGTGATCTATTACAACAAATTGCTAACAATTAATTTTTTTAAATTCAGGAGCAGCATCTATGAGAGGGCGCATATAATAAATGTATAGAAAGTTTATTATAAAACTCACAAGAAAAATGCAAAACTTTAAATTCTTGACCTCATGTCACAAAATATAATAGTGCATAACTACTTTTTCAATATATTTTTGCAGCTCAAGACTTATTTAACTGCTCAAAACATGAGTTATTGTTCTATTTGGTCTCTGAATAGGTGCTCATTATTATTAAGTCAAAAGAAAAGACGAATGTTAAATCAAAACAAATACATAAATAAAATAAAAAAATAAAAAAATCTATTAAAAAACAGTTTACAGACAACAAAAAAGTCAGTGAGAGGTTTTTGCGTTAAAGCATCAGATACAGTTTTACAAACACGACAAGCAAATTTCAGCACAACATCTTGGAAATTAACTTGTTGATTCAATTTGTGTATATGTGGGCGTCTTACCTTGAACAGTCATAAAAACACCAAACACCACGCTCCGAAAGTGAATTTTTCACACAACTGCATGATTGCTGCAGCATGCGTTAGCCACATGTCTAACACCTACAGTACTGTACAGCAGCACCACAGAGCCACACCACTTACCCACCACATATACCAAACAATAAGGCATTTTAACCAAAAACTCCTATTTATATAAACAGATAGCTGAATATCGAATTAAAAAACTCACATTGGGCACAGCTTCACAAACTATGAAGTCACAAGGAACAAGTCACACCACATAGACGACACCTGGACACACACACGGACAAGTACCTCCGCATAGGACACGACACGGAGCACACATCACAGACATGTAACAGCATGTGTTGGGCGGTGTAACTTACAGGCACGTAAAGTGGTTGCGCAATCATGAACAGAGACAGAGGAAAGTGGGTAGGCCCTCTGAAGGGTGTCCATGTTACTATGTACACTGCCTGACATGCAAGAGCAGTCTCGTTCTGAACGGCCGCAATCAAAACAACATGCCAGTTTCATTCGTTTGTAGACGGACATCTTGGCTACAGTCAAGTTTGGGGATGAGAGGAGAGGAAAAGCAGCAGGTTAATGGCAAAAAGGAGAAAAAGTCATATAGGGGACGTTGGAAAGTAACTTCATCAGAAAATGCAAGCCTTAGCCACCTGCCCCGCAGACTTGAGCCTCATATTAGATTATCACACACATAAAACTTTGATTTATCGGTAACCGATTTTCTTTAAGGAAAATGTTTCATAACTATGTCGTGTGAGAAAGTTTAAATACATCTTCAGTACCAGGAGATGTTTTTTTTCCCCAACTAAACTATTTTTTGTGCAGGCGTGTCTAAAGAGGTCAAGCTGCGTGCTAAGGCTGAAACGGATTCAAAAGACAAAACTATAACTGTGGGAGAGAGGGGGAGGAGGGGGAGGAGAGAGGGGGAGGCAGGCATACGGGAAAATAAAGGGATGAGCAATGTCATCAGCAGCAAACCGTTTACATTCTTCCATACATTTGTCCATCTTCTATATATATATTTGGCTCAACATACCTGTATCCCATCATGCAGCTGTGGGCTCAGTCCGTGGCATCGCACTACTCTACTGGCTAGACTGGTCTACTCATGCTATTACCAAGACCTGCAGTTTCACTGCTCCACTCCCCAAGGGGTGTTTGATTTGATGTACGTGTGCATTGCTCGTGTAACTGGGAATATCAACTGTAGAAACAAACGCATGCAAGCTAACGCACCAAATATGTAATGATGCTAGTTTAGAAATGTCCTTTTTGTCCTTGTTGCAAATTGAACAATTAACTAAATGAACCAATTTAAGCAATGCTTATGCTCAAACTGTTTTATTGCTTTGGTATAAGCTGTAGCTAAACACTACCAAGCACTCGTTAGGACTGAATCTAATATTTCTATTTTCAGCTCAGATATTGAGCAACCTAAGCAGTGTGGTATTTATTCCCAAAATTTTATTTCTACTGTGAGATGCAACCATGATGACTTTATCATCAAGGTATTCCATAAACATTTCTAATCAGTTTTCATGTTCTAACAGTCAATTTGGAGACAAAGCAGTGGTGAGGTCTACGTGATACTTGTGGTACAAAGTATACCCACTAGAAAAGCTCAAAAATTGCAGTATATCCACTTAAAAGTGCCCGATGATGCACGACATATCATTACACACGTGTCATTGATACGTTAAACGGCAGTTAAATGCTTCTGTAACAATCTATTGGTATGCAGCACTTATTATAATTAATACTTCTGTACTTACAACTTAACACGTGAACATGTTTTGCTTTGATACTGTTTTATAAATTCTATAACATGTTTTTAATACAAAAGGCAACTGTTGTACAAAGTTTGTTGTACATTTATTCAAATACAAGCATCAGAGAAATTTGGAAATGTTCAATATGTTTAAAAATCTAAATAAATTGACGATTACATTGTACTAACCAGTGTACTTTGGGTCCTAAGCACAGTATACGGACCAACCGTGGTAAAGTTAGTTTTACGTTGGACGATGGACATTCGTACTCCGTGGCTTCAACGTAAAACTAACTTGACCGCGTACACCCACTACAAAAATGTAGACTACACCACTGAGACAAAGGTTTAGATATGTATGTAAAAGGTGAAACAGAAAGCAGCATTATACAGTCTAGGACTTTTGAGCTACTAGTTAGCCAACGTTCTTCAAGCAGCCACTTTAGATGTGCGTATTTACATGTCTGTATTGTTACGTGTGGGGAAAGCTTGAACCCAAAGGGGAGCAGGAGTGAAAGTCCCCAGAGAAGCATTAGCATTAGAGTGCTGTGACTTTGGACGGAAACAGTTCCTGATCTCCATTCTCTCCATGGCGAGGTGCAAACAGGCAGCACGGTAATACAGTCTGGCACCTTCACATGGACACTTTTAACATCTTTGACTCTGACTCGAATTGGAAAACCAGATCTTAAACGAAGTAATCCGTTTGAACCTCCGGCCAAAGAAAGAATGGGAAATGCAGATTGTCAGGAAGGCGACAGGGACCGCTATATCTTGAGGCATGCACGTATGCTTTATGAGCATGTGAGACGCATGCAGAAATGCAGTTCTGCTTTCAGTAACAAGGAAAAAAGATAACCTGTTCACAGTAATGAACCAGTTTTCAAGGAGAAGGGCATGTGCAAACATGTGCAGTGAGACTATCATGCTGAAATCTCTTAAATTAAGAGGTTTTTTTTTTGTTTTTGGCTTGAGCATTTGGACCACAGTATAGATAAGTAACAATGTTGATTTTAACACAATGGAAGGAGGAATGGAAAACACGAGACAGGCTCACACACGACCAACACACACACAAACACGCTCTCTGACAATGTCCTTTACTTCCGATTCCACCAATAACCTGATTTGTGGGACACCTTTGATTGACAATTCAACATAACAGCTACGCTGATAAACTGGCTGTATTGGTGCTTAATACGTCACCAAACGGACAACGATCGAGGCATTATGTTGAATGTAAAGGATGTCCTAAAAAGAAGCAGCATTCTGACATATATCCCCTTTCAAAAGCTTTCCTATTCAGCAAGAGTGCAAGGAAAATGATACTGCTGGCTCAAGACTTTTGAGCAATTATGTATCATGTAAGCACAAAACACCCAGGAGAACAAAATGACGCTAAACATTCAGGATGTATAAAATGTGTTAAACGTTTGGTCACATTTTTATATGAATCCACACAAACACATTCATCTGGTCCTTGTATTTTTGCTGAACAGCTTTCAGGGGACTTAAGTTTTCTCTGCAGGCATTGTATAAATTTAGTTTACTGCACAGGACCGGTAGAGTATTACCATCTAGTGGCAGCTGGACGCTATGGCGTTTATTCTGAACAATCAGGACTTTCCACCCAGTGCAGCGAGTTAAAGCCCCCCAAAAAAGGGCCTGACGACTGTCCAGAATTGAAATGCACGAGACTGCTGCGGTGACATTTCAAGTCTGAAAGGAAGTGATGATCTCTGAAACCTCAGCCAGAGTTTAGGAAATGGGCTGAGATCACAGCAAATTAGGCCAGGAGGGAGACCAGAATGTTCTGATTGTGTTTTGGCAACATTGCTCACTAAGATTTAAAAAAAAAAAAAAACTTCCCATGAGGGCAACTTTTGCTCCCTGGAAAAAACAAGCATCCTCACTAAATTACCTTTGACAGAAACAGATCTGTTCAAATGTGTGCAGATCTTGTTTGCTCCTTTAAATCCATAGCAGTTGAGCATCCTATTTTTTTCTGCATGGACTAAATTTTTCTGCAGCGTTCCAGTATTAAGAGATAAATCAAAATAATGACAAGAGACTTGGGGCTGATTGGCTTGTAAACGCAAAAGATGAGATTAATTTGATGCTCAAGTCGTGACCAAGAATTGCAAAGGTCATCAGTCACATCCAATCAGGTCGCATTTTATTAGTCATTTCCAGCTAGTATCAGGCCCAGAAGGGGAAAAAAAAAAACCTGACGCTGACTTCATTTCTGCTGTTTTAGATTTGGTCTGGTCTGAGCACGGTGTAAAAATGAAGGCGAGGAGAGAGATGCAGAAGCTACACTGGTACATGCAACATAGATACAATAAACTAGTTGCTGAAGAGGAAAAAGAAATAAATAAAACACACTGCACTCTGGGTAATAGGACACCCATTCTTTGTATTTTTTACTCACAATAAATCACTACCAGTGAGTAGTTAAAATAAAGTGGTGTTTTCCAATGGCAGCAGGGAAGGAAATACATCAAAAGTGTGTCACTGGTCATAAAGAAGCATGGGAAAGGAAAAACAATAGAGGAGAACAATACATGATAAATCAGAACATACAGAGTTCCACTGCACTAATGGATCTGTCATTTTTCTAAATGCAACTCTCTTTTTTGGCAATAAGAACATTAAACATAACGTGTCCAACATGATTTTCGATAACTTGAGGAAATTTAGTGAGCAAACGGCAACAGAGAGTACACAGAGCAAGGATGTGAGGGGTCAGTTTTGAGTCTATTGAGCTGGTAAAACGTGTAAATAAGTTAAATGACATGGACAAAAAAAAAGAAAGGAAATTAGTGAGTAAGGTATATGTTTAAATCAGGCTGCTGTCCGCAGTGGGCGGCTTACTGTAATTGCCTGTGACCTTTTGTGGAAAAACATTCACCTGAATTATTTATGCAGTGGCTAACATGTCCTGACAAGTGAGGATTGTAAGTATGTTCATGTAACATTAATGATGTCATGTCTGCATGGCGCTCAATGAAACGACTGAAACTTTATTCTTTATATGTCAAACTGTGTGTGATATTTTTCACTAAACTCAACCATCGACTAATCAGCAAGGTTCTTACGTTTTATCACGAGTGAATATTACATTTAGGTGTTCTAAACTTTGTCTTCTGAGCTGTAATATTGTTTTAATTATTTCTGTTGTTACATGTATTAGGGATGCACGATATTATCGACATGGTATCGGTGTCAGCCGATATTAGCGATAAAGTTAAATATCAGACATCGGTCATTCTATCAAAATAACTCACCGATATAAAAAGCGCTGTTTATACATATATTTATATATAGTATGACTGTTTGAGTGTTCGAGTGTTGTCATTGTGTTAGAGAGAGTAAAGGGCATGAATAAATTTGACATTAAACATAATCCTAGTTAGTGTTACCATTTTCAGCCCCGTTTTTGACATCTGCATTTGGTAGCAGGCCAAATTGACAAAGACCATGCAGAATAATGTAGGATTTTAATTCCACAGCAGAGAAAGTTATGTACTCTCTGTAAGTATGTCTAGGGGGAAAAAATATCGGTATTGGTATTGGTTATCGGCCAAATAACTTTTATCATATTGGCATATCGGATATTGGCCAAAAATCCAATATCGTGCATCCCTAATATGTATTCTTTGAACTGGTGTACTGTTTATTTTAATTTTTTTTAGCACTCACAAAAAAGTGCGGCATAAGAAACATCTAAACACATCCAAAGCATGAACAGTTCTGACAAATGATCACATCCGCATGGATGTTATGACGGCTCAAATGGGACCTGTATCAAACACTTTCCAGTGAGTATAATGGCATGACAATAAAAAAAATACATATTTGCACAGAACAAACAACAGTAACACAATGAGAGCTGTAACATTCTTACACAAACTAGTAAAAGCCGACAGTAAAACAAACAAAAAATGATAGCTAAAGCCTTCGTTTGTAAGTTTGGGGTGAGGGGGGTAGGGAAAGGATAGTTCACCAAGGGTGAAGGATAAAGTTTAGTTACTCACGTCGTTTGCAGCCACACTTCTTTATCCTTTTTGGGTCTGTGATGTCATCATGACAAGCTTTGCAGTAGAAAAATGCTCTAAAAGTGACAGAATGTAAGTTTTTGGCACTGTAAAGTAACCACATTGTTCATTTTACATGGCTGGTGGCTTCAGTGAGACAGCAGGATTACCTCTTTACTTCTTTGGCATCACTAGCAATAAAGAATCCCAGTATTCCGTCTTGCAACTTGACATGGTTGCCCGGGTTGATGAGGATGCTGGGTAATTAAATAAAAAAACATACAGACAAATTAAACTTATTAACGTTTGGACAACAGTCAGTTCATGCCCACAAGGTGCTAATCAAGAGGAATGGTACACACACTTGTTACACTTTTAATTTGATCAAGTCTGAGGTAATCCAGGGTTACTTTTTTTGTCATTCTCAGCACAATAACACTGTGAATGTTTTCCTTTATACTCCACACTGATGAAGCTAAAACGAGTCTCTTTTGCTCTGATTTTGATCAATTTGCAGATGTGATATCCACATGGGTGGACAAAAATGTGCAACATTACGACTGAACATTGAATTTTAATTCTTTTCTTTTAAGAATGATACTGAATTGGTCTGGGGTGGGGAGTGAGAAAAGGGACAGACGAGTAAAAGGGACGAGGGCAGAAAGAATTAAAATTATGACTATGGAGGCGTTTTAGTCCCAGCACTCAAATACAGCCATCTTGTCAGAACAGATGTTATGATGCCCACTGAGACATGGCTCTTGTATAAAGAACGTACATTAAAAGCTGTTGTTCTGGTTAGTATTTGACAGTGGGATGCCAGGGAATGAACAGCTCTGTTTATCAATACTTGTGGCTCTTTAAGTTTATTAGACTAGTTTGAAAAAATGCAACTGGTTAAAAAAATATAATAAAAGTTGTACAGTCCTCTAAAAACATAGCTCTAACAAAATAATTAAAGTGATGACTTAATTTTTATTATATATACATTTGTATATTTAAAGACAACTTTTATAAATTAATGCATCATGGGACATGTTAGACCATTTTTTGTGAGTGGGCTCAATTCAAACACTTAAAGTGATTGGCTGTATCATTCCCCATCAATTAGACTACAACAGAGTAAATACACATACACTGTACTCACATACACACCTGCATACACACGCTCACACACCCTGGTCATTAATGGTTACCTGGGCAACAATCATCAATGATTTGAGTGTGAACAAAAATATTAAAACACTCAACCACAAACCTAAATAAAAATAGTTACAATTTTTCAAATTAAAAGCCCATGTGAAAGATGTTGTTAAATGTTTTTTTTTCTGTCTAGTGCATGAAAAAGTGAAAATTTACAAAAATGGAGAAAGATGTGGAGACTGATCAGTGTTTTTAAAAACTTTTTTCAACAATGGGTTGAAAGCAAATAAATGTATTCACATCTCTGCATTTTAAAAAGTTGTTTTGTAGATTTTGGTAGTTATTTTTGAAATATGTTATGTATGTAGATTCATGAAGATAGTTCATCTGAGGAAGCATTTAACATGAAACATCTTTCCTGAGCTCTACAACAAAATAAGTTACACTGAAAAAAGTAAATACACCGATCACCAATAATATTATGACCACCTAACTAAAAAGATGTAGGTCTCACTTGTGACATTTGGCCAGTCACAACATGGACAAAGAACATTTGGTGCTGTCTGCTAATATTAACTGATAGAACAGAACTTTTCAACCCTGTAATCTGTGGGTACTGGGTCCTCACAATCCCATACATCCATCCGTCCGTCCATCCGTCCATTATCTTTACCCGCTTTTTTCTTTTCATATCACGGGTGTCGCAGATGTAAGAGGTCTCGAGTCCATCAAAGGACCATATAGAGACAAACAACTTTTCACGCTCTCACACACACCTAGAGACATTTAGAGTTACCAATCAGCCTAACATGCATGTTTTTGGTCTGTGGGAGGAAACCGGAGTACAGTAGTCTCTCGCTACTTCGCGGTTAGACTTTCGCGGATTCGCTCTTTCACGGCTTTTCAAAAATTGTCAAATTTAATATTATTCACGGGATTGGGACCAAACTGGCACCGCCTTTTTGCAGTTTTCTTTCAAGAAGCCTATATTGTAACGCCAGTCAAAAGAACTACACTACCCAGAAGCCAACAGCGCTTCCAGCTGATGGGGTAGAGGTAGGGCAGCCGACTTGGGACCAGAAAGTCATGGTTCGACTCCCAGTCATTCCCAAGTCATGGTGTCTCTAAACAAGACACCTAATCCCCAATTGCTCTCCGGGTGCTTACATAGCTGCCCACTGCTCCACCTGAGTGTATCTCAGGTGCGATAGGTTAAATGCAGAGAACTAATTTCATCATTGTATGGGAACATACAGTGATGACAATCTCAGACTTCCCTTCACTTTCTTTCTGCCGAAATAGAGGGTTAGTTAGTTTTGCAACGCAAATCTACGTTATCTATTAAGTTCACAGAACAGGCATCCATCCATCCATTATCTTTACCCGCTTATTCCATTTTGGGTCACGGGGGTCACTGGTGCCCATGTCCAGCAATCACTGTGCGAGGGGCGGGGTACACCCTGGACGGGTCGCAAGTCAATCACAGGGACACATAGAGACAAACGAGACAAACAACCATTCACTTTCTCACTCACACCTAGGGACAATTTAGAGTTACCAATCAGCCTAACATGCATGTTTTTGGTCTGTGGGAGGAAACCGGAGCACCCGGAGAAAACCCTCGCATGCACGGAGAGAACATGCAAACTCCACCCAGAAAGGGCCCCTGGACCGGGGTTTGAACCAAGGACCTGCTCGCTGAGAGGCAGCAGCTCTACCAGTTGCGCCACCGTGCTGCCCCAGAACTGGCAGGAAATTTGCAAATAATCCTGAAGCTTCCTGAAGCTCAATTATCCACGCGCACATCAACCTGGACAGGGCGGTGGGCTTCGTCGCTCATCATCATCAATATTAGACAGCAGAACATCCCATTGTAGCAAAATTCACAGACATTTTGTTAGTGGTCATAATCATACAGTTGATCGGTGGGTAAAAAAACATTTAGGGAACAATTAAATCGACACACATGTGGGGATGTAATCAAAGTGCACCAGTCATGCAAATCTTATTCTTCTTTTCACACTTAAAGGAAACTAGGATCTAACATTTCCTCAGATTAAATGGCTCCCAGAGGAGCATACAGGCATTACACCTGGCATGCGCTTTAGTAAAAATAAAACAATGATTTCATTAAGACAGGTCCACAAACATTGCTGCCCAAATCTGAGATTTTAGAGGCGTATCGATCCATGACGTCATACCTAAATCAGGTACAAACTGGCATATCAAGGCTTAGAAAGCATCAAAACCTCATATTGTGAGCAACAAGGCAAGCATTAAACACCTTTATGTGATTGTGTTGTAGCATGCAGTTACCAAACAGCATGAGGAGGACAGAATCAAACAGAAAGGCATAGCCACCGCAGTACAGGTATAAGGACAGGTATGTAGATGCAGACGGTTGCAGTAACTTCTGTGCAGTTGGATTGTTTCTCAAACACCAAACTGACAGGAAGTGACCTCACTTAAGAACATCTACTCGAGAGACACACGAACATGACTGTACATGGTGGCTGAGACACACAAAACATTTAAAAAAAGCACATCTGCACACAAATTCTCACTCGCGAAGCAATCGCACCTACTCAGACGCACAGACATGCACAGATGTAGCACAGATGTAGCACAGAGAACATGGGAGGGTCAGGGAATGCAAAGGTGAAATGCAGCTGAATTAAACTTTACTTTGGATAAACCTAACGGTATCCAAATTCAGCACCTCCATGCCTTCAATCGTGTGTGAAGTTATCAACAAACAGTGTTGAGGTGATGCTGGTATGTTAAATAAGTTGGATGAAACATGCTGTTGTATCAACCACTGCCTGCAGCAATGGGAGATAATCAGTCAGTGTATCTCAAGATTAAAAGCAACAGATGATTGGTGCTTTTTGACACCACATCTGATCAGAGATATTTACAGTCATCATTGATTTTCAGACAAAGACCCATATAGTACTGCTCTGGTAATGATAAAAAAAAAACACCAATGAGTGGGATGTTTAGCTTTTCAGAGCTGGCACACAAAAGGGTTTAAACTGAGCAACACTGAAAAAGAACTGAAGGTGAGGACAACAAAGTAAGTAAAGGCTCTGGGGAAAGACAAAACTGAAAAGATCAAATAAGAGGTAGATATGGAGAGGGTGAGTGTTTGGCCTTGGTACACCGACAACAGCAAAGACAAAGAAACAGCACTTCTACGAACATGTCCAATTTATCTATCCTCTCTCTTTTCTCTCTCTGCCTGCAAAGAAGTTAGTGCATTAAGCACAAGGGACACCATAAAAAGTCAGAAAAAAGAGGCCTGTGACATAGTGTTTGGAAAAAAATCCTTGGGGAAACGCCCAAAGTCAGAAGCTTTAAAGTGGTGAAGATTGGGTGGAACTTTGGAAGTAAGATAAGGTAGAGGGCATACCGCTTTCGGCTTCTGCAAACAACAAGAAAAGATCTCAAATCAAACAGTTATCAACAGAAAAGGAAGAGGATAATAACACTGTCGCTAATCATTGTCTCCATTAAACACTAGACATGCTAAGCATACGAAGCTTGTCCGACGCTGAGGTCCTTGCACCTAAAAATTATGACTAGTAAAAGAGACAAGTATTCTTATAAAAATGGTTATTTTCTGACAATTGCATGGCTTGCACGGAAAAATGTGGCAAAAAAAGTCTGAAAGTATACTGGAAATTAAAATAATTAAATCATTAAATTCAATGCAATAAAAAGTAAAACAAACATTTAAAACATATATAATAGAATATTAGCATTACAACACGATTGCATGTACTTATGTCAAAATGAGCATCCCTAAAAACACAACTCGTCATGCAGCCTTGTCAATGCACAAAAAACATTTGACACAGGCAAATGGGGACAGGTGGGTAGAATTTGGTGAGAAAACAGAAAATATAGCACTTTGTGTTGCTAAGTGTAATGGAGACACTAATGTGGAGCTTGTGGCAATCATACAGATTGAACAGGGACAGAATCAAGCTAAAGAGACAATATGAAATTTGAACGTGCAGCAAATTGACCTTTAAATAAGAAAAACAAACATTAGGTTGCTCCAGTGGAGTTCCTTCAGTTTCTCCAGTCTATCCCTGAATGTGTAGTTTACACGTGAATTAAGTTTTATATTTTTATCATGCTTACTACATATTTATTACAAACCTTATACATAATTGTCACATACTTATTACATACTTAGTATACATTTATTGCTAATTGATACATGTTTGTTACAGATCTAATGCAATTTTTTATGTGATTAGTACACGCTTCCTTTGAAAGTCATTTAGAATGTTTGAAGTTTACACATCAGTTTTGATTTGGATTACTGCAATTTAGATTTTCACTGATATGCCGAGAAAAAATTTAAACTTCTAAAATATATAAAAATCTGATTGCTTGAATGTGTTCATGTTTCCTAGTTGTATTCATATTACAATTATTTAACTATATATGAAGTATAAACTTAGGATATACAGTAGTCCCTCGCTACTTCGCGGTTCGTTTTTCACGGACTCGCTCTATCATGGTTTTTCAAAGTAAAATTGGACATGACATACAACTGGCTGATGGATTTGGGAATTTTTATTTAAAATAAATTATTTTAAATTATTTAGCACTTCCTGCACCTTTGTGCAGCCCATACTGTGGGATAAGGTTCCTACTGCAGCTGATCAGTTGTTCTCCGTGCAGAGTGGAGAAGTGGGCGTGGCCAAGAACACTTGCAGGTGGCTGAGAGCAGCGGAGGCAGGGAGCTGAAATCATGACATTCTGTGCTCTCTTAGAGCGTTTAGAGTTTAGAAACATTTTTAGCATATTGCAAGAGTGTGGAAAGGGTTTCAAACGCCTTTATATATATATATATATATATATATATATATATATATATATATATATATACA